CACAAAAAATCACTTTGTTTTTAGGTAGTGTTTTACGTAAAATGACGACAGCACGCAAGTCGTCCGCAACACGTCGATGTCACCRAAGCCGAACCTTCGTCGACAGCTGCAAAAGTCTTTCGTTTCACTTTCRTACTTTGCGACAGCTCTCGAAACCATCCGAAGCCCTTGCGAATGTAAAAAACCGAGCGTTCTCCGAAAAAGTGTCCCAGCTACCTGGTGCACACATCGATCCATGRCGAGCCAAATGCTTCATTAKCATTTTCTTCTCGTAAAATGAATCCCAAAGACTCAAACTCATGAAGTAGTTAGAAAATCATAGTACACATCATTATTGTAGGTAAAATTGTCGTTTACTGTTATCTTTGGAGAAATAGGAGCAAAATAAGATTTGTCATGTGACCAGTGTTTCATACCTTGTCAAGATTATAGTATCACGGCCGGCTTGGTTGTGCTAATTTGAAAGGAGAGATGGCAGATCGGCGCGCGTCTGAGTCGTCCCGTCACTCGCAAAGAGGTATAGCTAGGGTTAGGTTTACGKCATATCAGTAGCAAGACGTCAGAGCGCTTGTGCGATATATAGTAGCAAGACTACATGAGTGTTGTCAAAGYAAAAAGGCCCTAAAGAACACGCCCGCGACCAGTGGTCCCTAGCGTAGAGACTCGAGGACAAAAGGGACCTTAGCAGCTTAAGTACCTTTTACAATGACATCGCTCATATGCATGTAAAGTAATGACGTCACAGTCACGTGCTTACAATAAAGTGTGCTTTGTATGAACCCAAGTATGGCGTGCGTGTTAGTACAATAATGAGATTGGTCACGAACTGCAGTTAAAGAAGATACGTGGCCCAGGCCGACCAAAGCAYAAATATAGTGGAAGGGTGGGAAAGAAGGCCGACACAATGAGGAAACTTTATAAGACGAAAAAAAATTTCCAAAAACACAGGCTAAAATACTCCAACCTGCATGCAAAAACTGCCCTAAAGAACATCATAAGATTAATACCACCAATACAGAAACTGGTGCATCCACCTCTACGACCAGTGTAACTACACCAGCAACCACCTCTACCAACAGCGCGACTACCCGCCTCTACCAACAGCGCGAATAGAGCTGCAACCGTCTCTACCACCAATGCGACTAAACCAGCAACGACCTCTACCAACAGTGCGATTAGAGCTGCAACCGCCTCTACCACCAGTGCGACTAAACCAGCAACGACCTCTACCAACAGCGCGAATAGAGCTGCAACCCATCTCTACCAGCTGTGGCACTACAACAACAACCTCATCTACAAGTGGTGCAACCAAATGTACAGAAACCAAAGCAAATGCTAGTGCTTATGCCATAAAATTCAGCTCACAAATACCAACTGTATATCTCAAAGGAAGTAAAAACTTTTGTGTAGAGACAAGAGGGACTCAATGCACCACTAACAGTTTATGCTTTCTGTTAAGCACCTCTCATATGCCCCTTCCAGATACAGCAAGCAACAATTTTGTGGATGGTATACTTTTAGAGGGTGATAAGATGCATTACTTTCTTTCGAAAGCTATAGGTAAACTAGGCAGTCGCATCTCACTTGAAGAAATCAAAGACGTAACAAGTCACCCAAATTGAGACTTTGGGGGAATAATATCAGGAGACATATTTGGGTCAACTAACGAATTGCCATTCCACACTTTGGAGCATACCATACATGTTGTTTTAAGCCGAAATACTGGTGGACTTCTACGATATCTTGAATACACTGTTGCCCTCACCTTTCACCATGGCAAGATCTTGTTGTTTGATTCACATGCAAGGAATGTGAAAGGCTTTGTCGACCCAAATGGAACAGCTGTAGTCTTGAAATTTTTAAAAGTTGGAGATGTGGCAGAATATTTGAGAAGATTTGTGCTGTTTAAATGCTCAACCACAGTGTCTGAAGTACACAAACTCAAAATCACTGACAGATCTTTTGAATTCCTTCCAGTAGATGTGATCCTTCTCAAAGTAAGTAATTATTGTGCAGCAATTAATGATAGTGGGCACTGAAGGTTTCAATCAAAACCCCATCAATGCCAACCATAACTAACTCTTTAAACATTGAGAATTTTGCTGATTACCTCTGATGAAAAGTCGGCCAATGACTACTGTATAATTTCTACTCTGCAATTTATGAATAATTTTCATATATATAAAGGGAGGTGAGAAGCACATGTACGTGGCTCAAATCTACCCAAAGCAATATATTCCGTAAAATGAGCAAACAATGAATATTTCGTTTTTCTTTATCAATCAGGTTGACATTGAAAAACAATGAAAAGAAAAGCCTAAAGCTGAAATATCAGGAATTAAAATTTTGACAAATGACTTGAACACTTTGAGGGATGGACAAAAGCTGAATGATGAGGTACACGTAAATTCATTCTAGAATATAGAAAGGTTGACAGTACACGACAAAACATATTTAGTGGAAATACTACAAATTAAAACCAACTTTGCCTTTTCAAGTAATTCCAAACTGTTTACACATTACATTGCACCTTGCAACAGATTATAAATTTCTACATGGAACTTATCAATAAAAGAAACATTACAAAATACTTGAGTCTTTAATAATACAATTGTCTGCATGTCAAATTTGTAAAATCAACCAAAAGAGTCTTATTGTTAATAGACAAGTGAAAACTGCAAAAATTTTACTAGCCTGTGTGCAGGAATTGGCCCAGTTAGGGATGCCCACATTGCCTGTATGCAGGCTAATGAATTTTAATAACAAATAACCTCCTTTTGGAAGATGTCAACCTCCCTCTCAAGGATGCTATACAATACCTTAAGTAAAATACTGTAAAGTCTTTTGCATTTTATGTAAAAAAGCACTTATATTATATAGGTACAGTTTCTATAAACCTCCCTCTGAGAGATGCCAACCTACCTATCAAGGATGCCGTAAAATACTTTGAGTAAAAAACTGTCTTTTGCATTTCATGTAAGCACTTATAGCATATTATATAGGTACAGTTTCTGTCATCTGAAGGATTACGTGAAATAATATAATTTTTCAGCTTATACATTATTGTACATCACTTTTTTCGTTAACCATCCCTGGAGGATGTCGACCTCCCTCTAAAGGATGCCGTACACATTTTCAACCAACAAATGCCGTATCATTTTCAAGGAGACAGCAAAAGTACTTATCTGCTGTTAAACATGAAAAGAAAGAATATCAACCACAACATACACTGTACTATAAAAGTCTATAGCCGCCATATTGAATTTTCCGACTATTTCCGAAGATGATCTCGGCTCCAGGCCTTCTCGATACCTCCTTCTCGAGGATGCCATCTAGCCACGACCTTCCCAGAATCCCATCCTGTTTTTCCTGTTCACGCAGACATTTGTCAACATCGCGGACCCAAAAATATTCGATATCTTAAAATCCCTAAATATGTCTAAACTCGTACCGAATTTCGAAAAAGAAAAGATTGACTTGAAAATTGTACCATCGTTGAGGGAGGAAGATTTAAAGAGACTTGGAATCGAGACCGTATCCGCCTTAAACAAACATGTGCCAGAGCACTTAGCTCCGCAAGTACTAGTAGTACCCGAGAAGGCAGAAGTGGCTTAAGTTCCTCAAGTGCTGATGAAAATGCGACTGAAAGGATAAGAGAAAGACTAAATATTTTTGCTCCACGCCGATTTGGAGGAAACTCTAGAAACAACTCTTCAAAAAGGCCTGCTGCACCAAAGACCTGGACTTCACAGTTCTTTTGTCTGGCATCTCGGAATGCAACGAAAGTCCCAACTGCTGGCGAGAAACAGGCACTTACAAGGGCAGGTCTGGGTTTAAGGAAAATTAAACTAACCTTAGAAGATGACGAAGAGACGGTTTCCGAGAAGACAATATCAGGCATTCCTGATGAAGATGGCCAAACTCTGGGATTCCCCCGCCTCAAGGATGTGGGGGGATTTGACATGCTGTTTTGTGATACCAACTCCAGGAATTTTGCGGTCCTGAAATGTGCCCATTCTGCGAAAATACTGAGGTAGAATTCTACTATTAATATGTCATTTAAGCATTATTTAAGTAGTCATCTTAATGTTTAACTTCACACTACTCATATTCTGTATAAAAATTATCTACAATCATGGTCATTTTACTTGGTACAAAATGCCTGCGGGAGCGTTTTTTATACTAGGTATTTGTTTTATATTCTTTTCTTCCCCCCTTCCCCCTGATCAATGTTGAAAGAGGTGTTAAGGTGTTGTGTGTGGACAGTCCAACCGGTAAGGGGACTCACAACATTGAATGTGGGGTACGGGGGGTGTAAGGGGGGAGTAAGGGGGGCCGAAATTTAAAGAATTCTGATACACAGTGTAAATCTATGTTAAAATACATAGGTGTCCCTAAATAATTTGTCCATGATTGTCTGTGCAACCTATATACATGAAAACAAGGGAAATACGTATGATAACTGTAAGAGATTGTATTTAGAAGTGCACAAAGCATTTTGGGTAATTGTTGTTATCATATTGGGATGCCTGTGCCATATAAATGACGTCACAAACAAAATTACATTCATCGCTTGCCGAACATGCGTCGTAAAATAACGCCTCTTCAAAAAGCTTATGCTTTAGTGCAATTGGAAACCGGGAATTACAGCATAAGGCAGGTTGCAAGGAAGACGAGGATTTCCAAGAGCTCTGTGCATAGAATATCAAAAGATCGAAGCAACTTGCTACATAACAACGGCGTGTCTAAGGTCAAACGTAAACCCGGAAGAAAGCCAAAAATTAATGAAAGACAGAAAAGGATGTTGCTTAGAAGCATAAAAAGACTCCGACAACGGAATGTTAACTTCACGTCTACAGATTTGCTGAGGGATGCAGGATTAGATCCCGCTATAGCAAGCCGGAGGACTATAACACGGTATTTAAACTCGTGGGGGTATTTTTTCATGCAATCTCGTAAGAAAGGACTACTTACAGACAAAGATAAAAAGCTACGCTTGAAACATGCAAAGGCCATGAGGGGTATATTGAAAGAGTGGCCAGACTATTATACGCAGCATATATCGTTTTATTTGGACGGCGTATCTTTTGTACACAAGTACAATCCCATGCTCGAGGCAACAAAACCCAAGGCAAGAGTGTGGAGAAAGAAAGGAGAAGGCCTTAATATCACAGCAAAGGGAAGCAAAGAATTAGCTGGAGGGCGGAGATTTCACCTTATCGTAGCGGTTGCATATGAAAAAGGAGTTGTGCTGTGTGAACCATACGAACAAATGAATGCGCAGTTTTTTTCAACTTTTGTTAAAGATCATTTTAATTTAACATTTGCAAAAGCTGGTCCTAAAGCAAATCAAAGCCGAATATTTGTCATGGATAACGATCCCAGTCAAACAAGCATCATGTCTATGCAAGCTATACATGACATAGAGGCTGATTTTCATCGCCTTCCAAGCCGTTCTCAAGACTTGAATCCTCCTGAGAATGTTTTTCATATTGTAAAGG